TTCCGTAAGCGCACAGAACTATTGCGTAGCACTTCGCTCGGTGAGTACCGAGTGCCGAATTTATATTTTCCCACAGGAAGGTGGAAGGCTAGAACTTATATTTAGTGTTAGGTTTGCTAAGGGAAAGCCTAAGTGTATCCTAGGTAGGTGAACAATAATGGTGGTTGAGTGTGAACTACCTACTAAACTACTAAACAAGCTACACTAGAGATAGCTAGGTGAGAGAGCGAGTGATATATCTTTCAGTAACTAAGGGTAAACTAATGACTAGGAGAAATGCGTTAGTACTTCAGGGCACAGCCCGCCTACCAACTAGGAGAGTTAAATAGACAAGGTCTGCCACGAGCCTTATGATTTAATAACTAGACATAACATGGTGGAATACAGAGGATGGACAAGGCTGTCACCACTTGCCAACAAGCACAATCTATCCGGAGGCCAAGCCGTATCCACAGGTAATCTATAGCCTAAGCACCTCGGTTAATCTATAGGCTTACTACTTCAATCCGAGCTCCGATGAAATGAGATCAAATTACCCTAATCAGACGATGAAACCGGTACTAACGAAAGACTACTAATAATGAGATAACATGTGCTACTGATGCCAAACAATAAGCACATAAGCTCACCAATGATGAAAAATAATGAACAAGTACTTAAGTAAAGCAAAGCAATAATACTAGAATAAAGTACAAGAAATAAAGTACTGAATAAATTAAATGCTAAATGAAAGAATTACAAAAGAGCTATACTAGACCCAGAAGACTCTTCTGTACTCCGAGAGAAGCTCCGCTCTTGCTCTACTTCCACTACTAGACTACTACTCTAAAGCTAAGCTAAGCTAGAAAGCTCGGAGAAGCTTGGAGATCTTGGAAATGAATGGGGCACTTCTCCACTGAGCTCCACACCCCATATTTATAATGTAGAGTGAGAGGGGGTACTTGTAGGTAGCCAGGAGGTCGGTGGCCACCCTAGGGCATCGGGCGGCGTCTAGGGGGCGCCGGCTGGGCCTTGGATCCACCGCCTCTTGATCCTCCGGTGCTGGTTGGCTTCCAAAGGCGGTTGTAGGACTAGCACATGTCGAAATTCGATAGGTACATCGGTTTGTAGGTCGGTTGGATCCTCCCAAGTGTATGACGGTGGGCCAGTGGATCCGTGTCAACTCCATCTCGTCCATCGGTGCAAACCGACTTAGATCAACGCTTGACATTGCTTCTAGAGCAGCTTCCACGGATTGGTGACGTGGCCAGGCCACATGGCACGCCGGGTGGCGCCCTTGTGGGGCCAGGCGACATGGCATGTGGGCCCCTAGCCCCACTGCCACGTCCAATTGACTCCTTTGCCCATATTTGTCACCTTTTTGCACATTTTTGCTATATTTTCCTTCATACAAATAATTCTACAAGCACAAGTGGAACTAGGTGAATTATAAACAAATGCAACATGTATGATGATGATTTATCTCACTTTATCATGCTTTTGGGGTCGAATGTTGATGGCAAAAACAGGTGTTAGTTACCATCAACAATGACCGCGAGGGCGTCTCCTGGGCAGGGACGCCAACAACAGAAGCAATGTTGTCATCTGGAGTGGCAGCAGCAGTGGCCTTCTCATGGTCCTTGGTCGTAGCATCAGCAGCCTCGTGGGCCTGAACAGCATCAGCCTTGGCGTTGTAGATGCCTAACGAAGTGGAGGCTCACCAACCATCGATCAGGAAGGAGAGAACACGCGCGGAGGGGGACACGTGCAGGGGAAGTCATGTCTAGGAAGTAACACGAGAAAAATTAGCAGAAGGAGAGGATCAGGTCGATACCATGTAAATTGGGAAAAACTCTAGATTGATTGGCGAGAAACAATAATGTACATGTACATATATAGGCAAGGATAGGGGTGGCTTATAGGAATACAACTGACCTCCAATATCCTTGCCTAACACAACTCAATCTCCTGGAGTCCTGGACTTGTAGTGCAAGGAAACTCCGTAGCCCAAGCTAATCCCTATGCTGGGCCCAAGCCTATTCAGCCATAAACAATATGGCCTAAAGAGCATAACACAACTCTGTCTAACAATCTCCACTCGTCTTCCTCGTACCTCTTTAGACATTTTAGTCCAGAGTGCTCCACCAGCCCCAAAATTGAGGACCCCCACCCTACCTTAGGGACGCCGTGCACTGCTATATGTCCATCGCCGCAAGCTTGACGTCTAGCATTTTCTACGGTCGCTCTACACCGGCTGGCTACCCGTCCCCATGGAAGAGCTTGAGATTTCTCCACTCTTTGAACCAGATCTAGCAGAGGGGAAGTGTCCAACGAAGCTCTACCTAACAAAGGGCCGCCCATCATGTCATTGAGGGTGCTGAAAGGAACTGCGACAAGATCGAAGGCCCAGACCAAGGGTTCCCACTTCCCAGTGGTTGGCGCTCTCCATATCAGACCATGTGGGGAGTCATGGAGCTATTTAGGGGAGGAGGTTCATCTTGATGAGAGATGTGTTCTTGGGAAAATCTAATTCTTCAAGAGGAGTATGGGAGGCCGAGATTAATATGAATGGGAGGGAGAGAAGCAGTTTTGCACACGCATATCGTCGTGTTCGACTCCAATATGACAATAGAGGCTGCGTGACTTTGGAGTGGGTGGTGTACGCAGGTAGATTAGTGGGAAACGGACAAAGGCTGTCTAGAAAACGATGACAATAGAACAAAATTTCACCCTTTAATATTAGTATATAGATGTCGGTGTTTTGAAAATTTATCATCGCGCTGCTCAAGGGATTCGATGGCTAGCACTAAGAACAAAGAGGATTTATACTTGTTCCGGACTAAGCCCTACGTCCAGTTGCCGGAGACCTGTGAGTACGTGTTCCTTAATGCCAAGGTGCTCCAAAAGGCTTACAACAGGGGTATTCAAGCTACAGCCCTACTGGTAGGAAGAGTTCGAGGAAGGGGAAATCGATCAACTGAGAGTCAATCATCTTGCTTGTTCTACTGAAGAAGGCTTAGCTCCCCTTATATAGTCGCGGGGGCCAGGTTACATGCAGAGTGGGGTTCTCCCAGCCCGAGTGGCCAGGAGCCCGAGGGATGGGGAAGCTAGCGTGCTTGCTATGCAGACTAACTAGTCTCGTCGCCGGTATGGTCGTCGTGAGCTTGCTCCTTACACCAAGGGGCGTCGTATGACGGAGGTACTGTTCCATCCATGGCGGCGCGTGGGGAGTGGTGGTTGCTTACCAACTCCTCTGCCCGGTATGGCATGCTTGCTGTCGCCGTGGTCTTCGTCCTGGCGCTCCGTTTCTTTAGGGAGAAGTCGTGATGTCAGTACGGGGAGAGTGGCTTGTCCCATCGTGGGCTGCCTACTCCTGGGGTCAAGATCCCGTTGCCTTGACCTCCTAGGGTCGGATCGAGGGCATAAGATCCGATCAGAGTGGAGAGCTGACTCCTCGTCGTGGTCCCCACGTTGTGGCGGCTACGATCGTACGCCCATCCATCAGGCTGGACGGGATTTGGGTGGTGCGGAGCCACGCGGCGTGACGTAGTTGTGCCCAGATGTGGTCTTGTCTGTCAGCAGGGTGCTGACCAAGGCAACGCTCTGCCCTAGGGTCGCCGTATCCCATTTTCATAACCTCGACAATAGATATAGATGTATAAATATTTTTTTCTAGGAAAGTTTGGAATAACCTAGAGCGGGGCACCGGTCCTCAATCCGGATAGAAGAGTGCTTGTCCTTGGTACAGATAATGGCTTGTGGTTATTAGAGCAGTTCTAACCCAGAAACTATGAGATAGTTTTGATACATATGAACACTATTTATAGAAATCATATAGTCAGTGGATAGTTTCTTCAAAATATCTATTTGTTCAATCCTATGTCTTTTATCTCCATGATCTTCATGAAATTATGGTAGTTTTTAAGGTAGGGAGTGGCCTTTAGCATCGCCTCCGTCCAAAAAAAAAATGGCATTCTTGCTTTTCGAGAAGTCAAGCAGTTTGGACTTTGGCTAAATTTATATAAAACATATTATTAACATTCATGATACAAAATACTCCATCCGTCCCTAAATGTCTGTCGTTTTCGTTTTCTGATAAACAACTTTGACTAAATATATATTAAAAAATATTAATATTTATGATACATAATTAGTATCATTGGATAGATATTTGAATCTAGTTTTTTAATAAATTTATTTGGAGATAGAAATATTGTAAGTATTTTCTATAAATCGAGTCAAAGTTATCGACACGCAAATTATGGCGACTAACATTTAGGGACGGAGGGAGTAAGTACCATTAGATTAGCTGTAGAATATATTTTCATAATATATTTATTTAGAGACATAAATACTAATATTGTTTATTATAAATTTAGTTAAACTTAGAGCTAATTTTATCTGCACGAATCCTATAATTACGTTTTTTTATGGCGAAGGAAGTACTACACTGCCAAGCGGAGGTTTCAATCTCAAACTCCAGCTATCTAACATTCCGACAACACTTCTGTCAATTGTCGGCACTAACACCGAGCGACCAATCAGATCGTGACAATTGACAAACAGCGTTTCTTTTCTTGGCCGGTTTCTTTTCTTTTCGTTGGGATCTATCAGCGGCTTCTGCTCATCTCAGGCATCTCGCCTTCAGATGAGTCGGGATTGTAACTTGTTTTCTTCTTTTTAATGAACACGGGAAGTCATGTTCTGGTAATAAAGAAAGGATCGTGACAATTGACCAACTGTGTGATCGTCGTCTTCCACGCGGCGGCTCCCACTCTACAGACAGTACTCGTATACTTGCTGCTCATGGAGTAGTTGTATCGAGAGGCCGACAAAGAAGCCACGCCAGTAGCCGGTTTGCTCTTTCTAGGAGATCGCAGGGGATATAACTGCACGCACTGATTTCTTTTTTAAGCCACGCCACGTTGACGCCAAACCAATTGCGTGGGTCAGACTCGTCCGACGCAACCACACATCAGTGCAACCCAACTCCGCCGCTAAGCCTCAAGCGACACAGAGGCATGGCCTCCACGAGGAGCACGACGGTGGTGCCGGAGCTGTCCCTGCCCTCCGGAAACGCGAGGCCGGTGCCGGTGATTGGCCTGGGCACAGCGGCGATATTCCTCCCGCCGGAGGCCACCAAGAACGTGGTGCTTGCGGCCATCGAGCTGGGTTTCCGCCACTTCGACACCGCCTACTTCTACGGGACAGAGAAGCCCCTCGGCGAGGGCGTCGCGGAGGCGGTGCGGCGCGGGCTCATCAAGTCCCGGGAGGAGGTGTTCGTCACGTCCAAGCTGTGGTGCACGCAGTGCCACCCGGACCTCGTCCTCCCCTCCCTCCGGGAGACCTTGGAGTAAGAAATCAGATCACGTACTTACATACTGTATCTGCATGTCTCGACGCATGCGAAATAATCTTACTATTACAGATTTACAGTACTAACTAGAGACTTCATATCATTCCTTATAAGACATGTTTAAAAAATCAGAACAAAAAAATCTAACTATGATCAATTCGATTGACTCTAAAAAAATATTACCCACATATATGATTATAAAACATAACATAAAATAATCCCTAAATCTATCTCTAAATAATCAAACTAACTATGTCATTAAAGAATAATCTGAAGGAATCCCTAAATTATGGTTTGACTAATGAGGTTTGTTGACACTTAAATTGAACCCAGGCTAGTTTTAGAATCGGCTCATCCTAGTTTTGGGCCATTCTAGAGAAAATTCTACACAGCAACACGTAATTGTACCATATTGATTTTTCAACAGGATAAGACCACCCCTACTCTATATTAAATATGGGGTACATGGCTGATTGAGGTATCCAACTACACAATAGAACTTTTATCAATATATACCCACTTTTTACCCTTATCTCTTTCAATCCCCTTATTGTCCTACATGTCTCTCGACGGGATTTATGGGTGTTCTAGGTGACTTTGCCGATCCTAGCACGTCGAAGCCGCGCGTCTCCCTGATGGGTCTTCCCAAGAGACGTTTGTGGGTTTATCATCCCAGGAGATGTTCGTGGGTTTATCGGGCGAGCGTCAAAAGCCTCGTTGACCTGGTGGTTGGCCTCGCCATTGGCACGTCCCTCCGCTGCATACTAGGCCATGTGCGGCCTCTGGGCGATCTAACCCTTACTGATGCGTGACCTGAATCGGCGTTAACACACTTTTTGACGTCTCCGTTGGGGATGAAGCAAAACAGATCTACTAAGATGGCCGATGGAAAGCCTTTGGTCGATCAACTTTCCGAGGAGATTTGCAAAATGCTAGAGGAGATGGCGAAGGCCCAAACTACTGCTGATCTAGATAATATATGCCCTGACATGTTTCAAGATGGATTAGCAGGGAATTGCCAAGAGGATCAAAGATGTCAACTTCGATCCTCTTCCTACTACATCTACATCTGAGGTAAAAACAGATCAATCTTCCCTGGATCTGGTGTTACGCGCGATGAATTTGCTAAGATGATTCGTGAGTTTTTTGAGATCCCTATAATTGACAAATTGAACAAACTCATGGATAGCTATAAAAACAAGGAGAAGAAGAAATCTGAATATATTGTTTCACCTCATGATGCTTCTTTTAGGAGATCAGCCCGGTTGCTAGCCAACTTCAATACGCGACACCGTTTAACTATTATGATGGACAACAAATGTATGCATCTACTAACCAATTCAATTTGACTACTTCGGCAATTCAAACCGGTAAAGCCAATTTAGGACGGGTTAGAACTGCACTTCTTAGCTAGAAAAAGGACCCAGGGGACATGAAACAGCTCCCATAAACAAGGAAAACAGAGCTAACATTGCTGCTGTCCAAAAAGTATTGGTTGAGCCGACTTCAAAAGTCAGAAATAATAGCCAATAAAAATCAACAAGAACGATTTTTCAAATCGGGCAAGCTAGCTTCGGTCAAAAGCCTCAAAAGGTGCAACATACCTTTAAACCGAAGCGCATGGAGATAGGAACATGGAAGATTAATAAGACAAATAGATCTCCGACAAAAGGTGCAAACAAAGAGTAGTTTCAATGGATCGGCCCAATACAAAAGAAGCCCAGTCACCTCTAAAATATGTTGAGCGAGTAGAGATTTTGAGACAACCAAGGGGTGTGAAAATTCAAACATGGCTCATAATACACATATCGTCTTTACAACAACAATGGTCGATGCATGTGTGACGCTTAGAGCAAAAATAGTTAATGGGTTGTGACGAGATCCTAACATATGGGTATATTAAGCCTCGGGATCTATGGTTCCCGGGCGAAGAGACCCCCTGGCCGATCCCAAGATGGCCCGGGGGCTCAAGGGATATACCCATCAGGTACGCTCGCGCGCACCCTCAAACCAACGAACCTGCCCAAGCCCGAGCACACCAACGCCTCTGCTCAAGGCTCAGGGGCTTGCCCGGGCCTCAGGCTCCCGATCAACAGGAAACCTGAGCCTGATCCTTGGCTCCTGCCCGGCCTACGACGCCAGCCAAGGCCCAGGCACAAGAAGACACTCTCCAAGCCATCAAGGCTGGGGGGCTCCTCGACGCAACACTTTGGGTGTGGCCTTGTCGGCTGCTGCCCTGACACGGTCACGCATAGGTCGTGACACAAGAACACAAGCTCTCCTCGACCTTTGGGGGCTTGGGGGCTTCTGAGCCTACGCGTCAGCACCTCGAGCCAACCTCTAGAAGACTCTAGAAGGTGCGCCTGGGGGAGGCCGGTCCAAGCCGACACAGCATGACACTTAGTGTGTTAGAACAGGCTAGCCGGTCGATGCCCAAGGCTTCTTCGGCTCCACCACATCGCCACGGTCCACAGAGCGACACTGCAAGACCCTCCTGGACTCTAGCGCATGTATACCATAGGCTCAACCCCCAAAACTGCCATGTACCCAACCTATCTCGATATATAAGGGGTAAGGTTAGATCCTAGAGGGGCGAGGACGATCCTAGACAGATCGTTCCATTCCTCATCGATCCGCTCCTGCTAAGCACCGAGAGCAGAGCAACCCAGATAGGGGCACCAAGAGCTCCTCCACTGCACCCGTCGCCTTCTTCCTCTCCGACGAGGGGAAGGCTCCACTGGCGGTGAGGCAACCTCAGGATTATCACCGAGCTAACCCCCTACCAAATCTCTCTCTTCCTCCTGTACACTCTGTTGTAACCCCCTAATTTTGGGTGCTCTTGAGTATAAGGATCATCAGCTGCTGGACGTAGGGCATCGATCGGCCCGAACTAGGATAAATTGTTGCGTCCTCTCTGTGATTCTTGTGTTCTTGAGTCCACCCAAGCTGCCGGAGACACGTACTCTGAGACTGACTCGAACAATAATGCTTGCCACGGTTCTGACCCTACGACAGCTGGCACGCCAGGTAGGGGGCAGCGTCAAGTACGATTCAGGATCTACGGTGGCCAAAGACACCCGCCTTGTCGTCGGAGCAAGCGGCACTGCCCCAGACGGCGGTATCCGCTTCCCTGGCGAGTTCTTCATCACAGCCGGTGCCTTCGCTCCTAGCCAGGTCCTCAACTTTGGAATCCTAGCCTACGTCGCCGACTGCTACTGGGAGCTTCGTCTGCTCAATGGGGCTGCGCCGGTGGCAACGAGCTCCCGACGCCGCTCCTTCTACCGGGCATCCTGAGAGCAGATCTCGAGGTCCTAGCCTAGCAGTTCCGATATGGTCTGGGTCCATACCCCACCGTGTTGGACCATTGCCATATGTTGTACATGCTGACCAACGTCCACCACCAGATCGTCACCGGTGAGGTGCTCCCGCCGCTCAACCACTTCTGGTACTACCTCTTGGACCTGCCTTTTGGGATCCAGAATACGGCAGCGTCCTTCCAGCTAGAGCTAGAGCACCTCGTTAGTCGTGAGGCGCCAGGAGCGCCATCCTCTTCGGCGCCACGGGGGTTGAAGTCCCCTTGATGTGCACCTTCCTCGAGATCCTCTCAGGGAACAACCTAGAGTATGACTCCAACGACATCGACTGCTATGTCCCGCCATGCATGTGCTACCACATCGACGGCGAGGTACCTGCCGAGGAGGCGTCCGAGCTCACGCCACCGAACCAGAGTCCCCGCAGCTGCACAAACTACATTCGGGAGGAGGCCGCTCACCTGCAGGCTCTGTAGGTGGACCTGGAGGCTATCGAGGCAGAGCTTGAGCGCCAAAGGCATGACTTTTCATGATAGCAGGCCGTGCAGCCTCCCGGCAACAACGATGACGCCCGCACAGGGGCACCCAGTGCTCTGTGCTTCCCTCGAGCGGCCTACAACATGGTGGCCGCCACTTGCCGGCCTAAGGACATCTCCGACACGCCGGACTCAAAGACCAACAAGCGGCTGCACAAGGCAAGACGGCTTCTCTGTGTCACCCTCGAGCAGCAAGCCGAGAGTTCCGCCTCCTGGCATCGCGCAGCGTTCTCCAGGCCATCCCAGCGAACAACCACCGTCAACATGGACCGCTCCGACGCGCATGCCCTACCGATGGGTCAAAGCGGCAGTGACTCCTCTGGCAGCAGCTCCAGCTATCCGTGGACTAGGGGCGCCAAGCCCCGATAGGAGAGACAGCGCGAGCTTTCCCCTCGGCATCCCCCTTGGGCACCACCAGATTGGTGACGACCGCGACGTCTGTGACACCATCGAGGCCAGGTGCCATGCTCAGGCGCAGTCCCGCACTCCCGAGCAGAGGGGCAAGGGTGCTGCCTCGGATCACTTCAGCCCCCTGGCATTCAGGGTAGCGATCCAGGCCGCCCCCTACCCTAGGTAATTTCGGCCGCTGACGCACATCACCAAGTAAGATGGCGAGACCAACCCGGACCATTTTCTCGACAGCTACTGCCTCGCCATGAGGGCCGGGAGGTAGGATGATGACTTCGCCATCTAGTACCTTCCCCTGCTCCTGTCGAGCTCGACCAGAGTGTGGCTCGAGCAGCTCGAGCTCGGCAACATCCACTGTGGGGCTGACCTCCGTTCCATCTTCGTCGACCACTTCCAGGGTACATACACTTGGCCCGAGAACACATGGGACCTCCGCAACTGTAGACAGACGATCGATGAGACCCTCCGGGAGTACATACAGTGCTTCTCCAAGAAGTGCAATGAACTCCCCAACATCACCGACGTCGACGTGATCAATGCCTTCATCTACAGCACGAGCTGTGAAGCACTCGTGCACGCGCTCAGCCGTGAAACCCTATGCACGACATGGGAGCTCCTGGATGTCGCCACCCAGTACGCCACTGACGAGGAGGCTATCTAGGCCAACTTCAGTGGCAAGGCCAAAGCCATCGGCCACCTCAGCGATGGGGACGGCGGCGACGACCCTGCTTCGTCCCAGCACCGCC